ATCCTCACTCAAACTATGACAATTAGGAGACTAACATATCTTGACTAGCTCCTTCTAACTAGACTCTGAAATCGTTGAGACTTGGAATTGTAGTTTTGACTCAGTCTTCGGTCCGTGATGAGTTTTTTTACTAAGCTTCCACGCCACTGATGATACGGTATGGCATGACGTAGCCTAGAAGAAATGGTTGCCCCTCAACAATGCCCACTTTAGGAAGCTATTACCTAAGATACAGATTAACACAATGACAATGCCTCGGCTGTTCGATCGATGAGAAAGAGACTAACTGTCGACCGTATCATACGATCTAAGTATTACAACAATCAATGAAGTTTGGAGGGATATCAAGCTAACAAACCTGGAGGTCAATTCTTGAAAGTGAGGAAGTACGAGTAGAATGAACGGTTTTTAGCGGTTTCGTCACAATGCCATACGAAATAAGTAAACATAGGGACTAATGATACCATGTGCGTAGCTTAACTTCCATGGGAAATTGCACACTGCGCAGGTCTCTCCGTAACGCAGCTGCTACTCACTCATGCACACACATGAATAGGGTGACAGAGGGCCGTTGTTTCCACTCAATTAAAATTTTTCTATTAGATACTTACCGTCGACATTGTAATTGTATTTCCAGGCACTAACTACGTTTTATATCAGAGATCAAGATGCAAATTGCTATACTGACAGTGACATGCACACGTGTGGAAGAATAGTATGTTTACGAAAAAATGTCCATGGCTGTGAGACAAAAGTAAGACCGTACAAACAAACGTTCGCGCATAGAGGCCGATATCATATGCATGTGTGAGAGAATGGTTTATGAAAGTAATTCCTTTAGCCTTACTGTGGCTCGACAAAGACGATAAGAAGAGCCCCTTCCCACTTCAGTTGGCCCACTTCAAGATTTGTACCAAAATATGCCTTTATAAGCTAAACATGACGAAACTATTTACTTCTAAAACAATTTATTTTCTCAAAGACATTTTAGATACACTCTAGCCGTAAAAAATACATATTTGAAGTCACTTAGACCTATAACTAATACAACATCTGAACAAATAAACAATGTGCGAATAAATGCGCGAAGTTAACAAAGCAACAATTGAAAGATTACCACTGGGTAACATCACCTTTATTTTTTATTACGGCTGAAGTTCTTTCTTCTTCTTTTGTCTCAGTTCGGTGATTGTACGAGCAGGATGTTGTCGTAGAACCTTTTTCATCTCGTGACAGATCTGGACTGCTAGAAACCCGTTTCAAAAGTGGTACATTATTTTCTTCCATCCATTTTATAGCCTTTTTTGAGGTATGGCACGCTGCACCACCTTGCAGAAACACAAAATCTTGGCCGGATGTCGAACATTCTTCCATCATTGGTAAAAGCGATTCTTCTAAAATTGACAAATATTTGTTTGTATCCACATTTCCATCAATAAAATGAAGTTTTCCTACTCCTGTTGGTGACATACTGCTCCAGACCATAATGGATGCTGGAAATTTCACTTTTCTCTTCAGACAGTCAACATGCAAAGCTTCATTTTTTATAATATAATAACTCTACTGCGACTGTCACCAACACAAACTTCGAATCGGGCCGCATCACTCCATTGTATTGCACACCACTTACCTTGCAAGTGCTAAATCCCAGTTTATGGGCCTCTCTATGAGTTGTGGACCTCAAAAGTCTCCTTCCAACAGCGTCACTCCACAGAGCACTTAATTGTAGATAATTGGCACGCCTGTTTTTCACGATTATTCTTCTTAATGCTCTTCGGTCGGCATTTGTGATATTACTTTTTTTCACATATCTTGGCTTAATATTAACTGAACCAGTTACGTTATATCTTCTAACAATATTCCTCACACTGTACCGCGACAAGTCTAACAAAGTTGCAATATCTCAGCTGTGATTAATAAAAACAAGTGTCATGGCTTTTATTTTTCACAGCCACCTATGCGTTATAGACTTATTTTGCATTGAAACGAAAATAGGTTGATATATGCTGTAATTGCAACATGTGTTATTTTTATGCTGCAAATTTGATTAGGGAGTGATGAAGTTGGTGTTTTCTACTATATATTATCAAAATATTCATTGTTAATATTTTAAACCTAGATTTCAATAGTTGGGCCAACTGAAGTGGGAAGGGGCTCGTATATTGTTACCCTTCTGTCAGATTTTGACACTGTTTTGACGTGCATCAAATAAGCTTGTGAAGATTCGTTCTCGGTATACTAGCTAAGTTCCTAGGTTCTTTATATCATCAAATGTTTTATCTCAAATTTAACTTCGTCTTTAGAATGTACGATGGCGAAACTTCCACACTTTTTCTCCTGTGAATCACCCGGAGAGCGAGTTCGTTATAAGTGCTAACGCTCACTTCCTTTATTTAAGTTAGCGGCAAGAGCCCTGTTAATAGGGAGCTCTTGCGACCTCTGCTGGGCGGTAGGACAACTATTTCTGGCCTTACCACCATCACCGCGACGCAGCGTGGTCGTGTTCTGTACCGTCCAGTAGACTGTGAGGCAGTAAGCAGGTACATTGATTATTTACCCGATGTTAAATAATGTTCTGTATTTAATTTATGTCTTCAATGAGAATTCAATCAGAATTTTGTACAATAATAATGTGACACTGTTATTTTCAATTGAGTGGCGCCATGTCAACCTATTGTATCAGGTTTGAGCCATGTTCCGAGTATGCCACAAATCGGTTTTGATTGTTATGATTTACGTCAACTTTTGTGTCCGGACAAAAATGAAAAATAGGTTTTTGTAGTTGTGATGTGATTAGAATTTCTTGACTTAATATAAGAATTAGTAATCCATCTTACACAAATCGTATAATTTTTCTGTAGTTTGAGAGACAGTTTATAAGAAATCCACTAAATTCATTAGAGACGTCTACTTATTGGTCGAATTTGTGCCAAAGGCGCAATTGATTCCCGCCAGGTAATAGTAACATCGGGCTTAAAAAACGAGGATAAGTTTGTGCAGGAACGATTAATGATATACAAAACAGAAACATATTACTTTGCAGAAAATTGATAACCTCGTTTGATAAAGGTCAACAGCTCTTAGGATTTGGGATTCTATTCTACTGCAAGCAAGAATGGTGGGTAATCTGTAAAGCTGGAAGCAGATGACGCTAGCTAAGCCTTAGGTTATGGACACAATCATGTCGACTGCTGATCAGCTATTTAGACGTCAATAGACGTCAGAACAATAAAAATAACTTTCTGTCAAGTTTTTCTTTTTTCCACCTACGTTTGTCAGCTTCGAACTCCAATCAAACAAGCGCCGCCTAGCGGGAGCAAAATCGGATATCGCTGACGTTGACACCTACTACTGAAAAAAAATTATTATTAATACTTTTGCATCTTCCGTACCACTTAGGTCTCATTTACTGTCAGAAGTTATCTTAAAACTCCTATTTCCACAAAATAACTGACTATGAGGTTCAGAGACAGGCACCGTACTTATTATAAATTAGATAACATTTCAGAATTCAGAAGCTTATCAAGCATGTCGTCGTATCGTCGGAATAAGAATTTGCTCTCAGACAACTTAGAAACCGTACAACGTACACCCTCAACCTACGACCATGCTGTTTGTATTCGCAGCCTCAAAACACATACTTATTCCAATACAATCCAATAATCCTAATCCCAATAACTAACCATATCTTCCGAATCTCATTTTTTCCGTTTTCCCTTCTACCGTAGTTACCGATTATCATACCCAGCGGATTATCCATCGCTGTGTCACCCGTAGGACGACGTGGAACGAATCTAGGAGGCGGTCGCATTAACAAATTGATAATACGATGAAATATACCAGCGCATTATCATAATCGCTGCCTTTATATCAGAGTAATGGCCACCGCACGCATGCAGACGCGTGCGGAGCATGCAAGGACATTACGACGTTACGACGAGGAGAAGTAGAACCTTGACTAAACGAGGATTTGTATGGACTCGCAGATAATAGGTAGTACCATTGATTAACATATTTCTACATGAAGATTGCCAATAATACGAGCCCCTTCCCACTTCAGTTGGCCCAACTATTGAAATCTTAGTTTTTTTCGTATCAAACACAAATAATAAAAATGTAGCAGGGTGTTATAGGTTTAAAACATTAACAATGAATATTTTGATGATATATAGTAGAAAACACCAACTTTATCACTCCCTGATCAAATTTGCAGCATAAAAATAACACATGTTTGAATTACAGCATATCAACCTATTTTCATTTCAATGCAAAATAAGTCTATAACCCATAGGTGGCTGTGAAAAATAAAAGCCATGACAATTGTTTTTATTAATCATAGCTGTCAGAATACGTCTAAAATAGTTTTGGGTAGTTAAGGTTTTCAAAATGGGTAGAGGAAAGGTTATTAGTGAGAAAATTCGGTTAATGATAATTAAATTCTTTAATTCTGGGAAATCAAACTCAGAAATTGCAACTTTGTTAGATTTATCGCGATACAGTGTGATAAACATTGTTAGAAGATATAACGTAACTGGTTCAGTTAATATTAAGGCATGATATGTGAAAAAAGTAAATTCACAAATGCCGACTGAAGAACATTAAGAAGAGTAATCGTGTAAGACAGGCGTGCCAATTATTTACAATTAAGTGCTCTGTGGAGTGGCGCTGTTGGAAGGAGAATTTCGAGGTCCACAACTCATAGAGAGGCCCACAAACTGGGATTTACCACTTGCAAGGTAAGTTTTCTTATAAAAAAAAAGTGAAGTAAAAACCCTAAAGTTGCACAACTTGTTTATAGGCCAAAGAAGAGCCACTGCAAAAGAAAAATGGGCTTAGATGGGCTAAAGAACATAGACAATGGACACATCAACAATGGTGTGCAATACAATGGTGAGGCCCGATTCGAAGTTTGAGTTGGTGACAGTCTCAGTTATTCGCAAAAAAATGAAGCATTCCATGTTGACTGTCTGAAGAGAAAAGTGAAATTTCCAGCATCCATTATGGTCTGGGGCAGTATGTCATCAAAAGGAGTAGGAAAACTTCATTTTATTGATGGAAATGTGGATTTGGCAATTTTAGAAGAATCGCTTTTACCAGTGATGGAAGAATGTTTGACATCCGGCCAAGATTTTGTTTCAGCAAGATGGTGCCATACCTCAAAAAAGGCTATAAAATGGATAGAAGAAAATAATGTACCACTTTTAAAATGGGTTTCTAGCACTCCAGATCTGTCACCTATTGAAACTTTGTGGCACGAGATGAAAAAGGTTCTACGACAACATCCTGCTCGTACAATCACCGAACTGAGACAAAAGCTTCAAGAAATATGGGATTGTTTTACACCAAATTTTTGCCAAAACTCGGTTAACACTATGCCAAAAAAGAATTTCAGCCGTAATAAAAAATAAAGCTGATGTTACCCAATGGTAATCTTTCAATTGTTGCTTTGTTAACTTCGCGCATTTATTCGCACATTGTTTATTTGTTCAGATGTTCTATTAGTTATAGATCTAAGTGATTTCAAATATGTATTTTTTACGACTAGAGTGTATCTAAAATGTTTTTGAGAAAATAAATTGTTTTAGAAGTAAATAGTTTCGTCATGTTTAGTTTATAAAGCCATATTTTGGTACAAATCTTGAAGTGGGCCAACTGAAGTGGGAAGGGGCTCGTATACTGTATTCAACATCCTCGGAAAATGTCGTAAATATGTTTAATCAGCATTTCAGAGATTTTCAAATAGAAATAGTAAAAAAGCATCACATAGCTACAGCTATCAACAATGTGAAAATAAGTCCCAACATGCAAAAGGTAAGATGTTATTATATCCTTTCACTGAGATAGAATTTTTCGAACTCATCAACAAAAAACCTAAAAACAAGCCTTTCTCTAGTGTTGACGATGTGCCAAACTTCCTAGTGAAGAGAGCATTTAAGACACATGGTTAAGCATCTAGTGTCCCTAGTAAATATCTCCTTTTGTAGTGGCAAATTCCCTGAAATACTGGAAACTGGTAAAGTCACCCCACTATATGTATAAAAAATACGATCATTCAATCACTGCTAACTATAGACCAATCATTGTACCCTCCTTGCTTCTCGAACATTTTCGAATACTGCTTTCTGGACAGGCTGGAAGTATTCTTAGACAGAAAATGTAATCTCTCCAAGAATCAGCATTTCTTTAGGGGTGTAAAATCAACCATAACTGCAATATTCACGCTTTTCTTGAGGCAATAATTTGTACTGTTGAGGCAGACGAGTGCCCTGTTGGGGACTCTGTCGATCACAATATTTTGTTCAGCCAAACCGGAGTATCTGAATCAGCTTATAGTTGGTTAGAGTCATTTCTCAGGGGTCGGGAGCAATATGTATAAATAATACAATTGTGCAAGTGAAATCCTCATCAACCACTATCAACGTGGGTGTGCCACAAGGATCCATTTCAAGACCAATTTTATTTAGCATCTATATCGATTAAGGACAGCATCAATCCAGCTGAAATAAAGGTATGTGTTAATGGTACACGGAAAACAAAGCAGGGTGCAGCCGTTTATTGCAGAAACAATGACGACCTGCAAAAATTGAAAATTGCGCTGAGGTCTAAATTAGGGGCGAAGTATCACATTAGTGAACCCGTAAAGTATAACCCTCGCATCCTTGTAAAAAACTTTGTGAGTGATGAAGAACTGGACACGGATGCTAAACTAGTTGATAATATTGTTAAGCAGAATGGCATTGATGTAAATGATGCCAGCATGAAAGTTGTTACTATGCTGAAGATAAGTAGTGCCCATCATCTAATTTTGGAGCTTTCTCCACACGCCAGAAAGCAAATTATTGATAAAGGCTTCATATACGTTGGTTGGAGAAGATACAAGGTTGTTGATCATATCAACATAATTCAGTGCCATAAGTGTTGTGGTTTTGGTCACAGTGCAAAAAATTGTAGGGCTAATTCCGTGATTTGTCTAAAATGTTCAGGTAGTCATGTAGTGAAGGATTGTAAAGGTGATATGGAAAAATGTATAAATTGCCATAAACATAACGAAAAATTTCATACCAAGCATGGTACTACTCACAAAGCAAATGACAAAGAATGTCCAATGTATGCAACATATTTTCAAAATCTTAAAAGTAGAGTAAACTATGGCAGCTAGAGAATGTGTTTTGAAATTTGGCCACCTCAATGTACGATCTCTTATGTCGGACTTTGATGCAGCTGTCAACTTGGTAAATACTGATGACTTGGATATATTTGCAGTGACAGATACGTGGCTCAACACTGACGTCACTGATAATTCTGTAAGTATCAATGGCTATGATCTCTTTCGTCGTGATAGGGAAGCGCGCGGAGGTGGTGTGGCAATTTACTTTAAGTCTGACTTGCGTGTTGAATTTTTAGACCTAGATGCGCAAGCAAGCAATTTTTTGGAATGCTTGTGGGTAAAGATGACCATCAATAGGCGAATAATTGTTATAGGGGTGATGTATAGGCCGCCAGGGCAAAATATCAATGAATGTGTCAGGTTGTTGGATGCCCTTTTACCTGAGATTTCGGGTAAGTTTGATAATGTAGTTGTAATGGGTGATCTAAATGTTGATTTTTTGAAACAAAATAACATAATCTCTCCTTGTTTCAATTCAACTGGATTTGTCCAATTGGTTACCTCCCCAACCCGTGTAACGCAGCACGCAGCAACATTACTTGACCCTATATTTACCACCAACCCAGATATTTTTGGTGACTGTGTTGTATTTGATGCAGGTTCGGTATCTGATCATAAACTTGTCATGTGTCAGCTTAGGTTAAATAAATTCAAGAGAAAGCAAAATATTGTAACTTTCAGGGATTTTAAATGTTTTGATGATGCAGCATTCCTTAATGATCTCGCTAATTCCTCCGTCGATGATCTGTTTTTTATCCCAAACATTGACAGTAAAGTTGACCATTTAACAAATATCCTAGTCGAATTATTCAATAAACATGCTCCACTCAGATCTGTACGTGTTTCTAAGCCACCTGCGCCATGGCTGACTGATGAAATAAAAAAAGGTATGCACGCTAAAGTTACTGCGTTAGCAAGATATAAGCAAGATAAGACTGCAATTAATTATGAAAACTATCGTCGCATTAGGAATAAAGTCCTTATTGATATTCGAAAGGCAAAAAAAGAATATCTGGCAGTACTTTCTGAGCAAAATGAATCGAGGAAGATTTGGTCAGGCATAAATAAACTTAATATAAAGTCTTGTAACAAATATACTTTGCCTGATAACATCAGTGATGTTAATCTGATAAACAGGTATTTCATGTCAGTTTATAATGTTGATAGTGTGCCGGAAAATGTGTGCGAGTTTTATAGAAGCAATAAACTAAATCCGTCTAATTCTTTTTCTTTGAGAATCTTAAGTCCTCAAGAGATCTTTGATATAGTAAAAGGTCTAAAATCAGACGCTAAAGGCCTTGATACGCTGTCAATTACAATGATCAAAGTTAGTTTACCAATAATATTTTATCATATTGTACACATAGTTAACACTTGCATTGAAAGAGGCTTGTTTCCCAAAGCCTGGAAGAATGCATTGATCTTACCAACGCCAAAAAACAATAAACCTACTGATGTTACTCATCTAAGACCCATAAGTTTGTTGCCTGTGTTGTCAAAAATACTGGAAAAAGCAGTTCAGTTTCAAGTAGAGTCTTTTATTGAATATAATGGCATCATTCCTGTAAATCAATCTGGATTTAGGAAATATCACAGCACAACCTCTGCATTATTAAATCTGTGCGACAACGTTATAAGAGCTATGGACAAAAAAATGGCGGTTTCCCTAGTTTCAATTGACTACTCCAAAGCATTCGACAAAATTAACCATGTGCTTTTACTTTCTAAGTTAAAGTACATTGGATTTGACAATATAGCTATCCAATTCTTCAAAAACTACCTCTCACACCGTATGCAGTGCGTTTCTGTAGGCAGCAGGCTATCAGAAGTCAGTATGATACCATCAGGAATCCCTCAGGGCTCCATACTAGGCCCTGTGTTATTTCTCATATACACTTTTGATTTGCACAAATCTGTCGCACATTCCGATTTACTAAGCTTTGCTGATGACACACAACTCATTCATTATTTTGACGCCTCTTGTTCGCAGGATGCTGCTGCCTTATTAGAGCAGGATCTGAGCAAAGTGCAAAAATATTCAAGTGACCATAATCTAAACATTAATCCAGATAAGACTCAAATATTACTATTTTGTTCCGACGCAAGGAGAAGTGACGTGGAGAATACATTTAAAGTTAACCTTGATGGCTCGCTGCTGCAGATTGCTAATTCAGCTACAATTTTAGGTGTTGAAGTAGATAGCAAATTGAGATTTAGGGAGCATGTTATGTCCTTAGCTAAAAAAACGTATGGTCGAATGAGAGCGTTATATGCCAATCGCCACCTTCTGAACTTTAAACTGAGGAAAAAACTTTGCGAGTCTCTTGTGTTGCCAATTCTCGGTTATTGTGATATTTTATACTACCCATGTCTTGATGAACGGATGAAAAGCAGGCTTCAAATAATTCAAAACAATTGCATTCGCTTTATTCATGGATTGAGGAGATTTGACCATGTTAGTGACAAATACAGCCAAATGAAATGGCTGAAAATTGATAAACATGTGCGGTGCAAATACTTAGTGTCTTTGCACAAGTTGATAGCTGCGTCAAGACCTGCATACCTGAGAGACAAGATCATATTTAATCAAGAAATTCATGACAGGATTACCAGGGACCGTATTATGATCAGGATACCTCCATACTCTATGACACTCTTCAAGCGTTGTTTCTCGTATAATGCTGCCGTATTTTACAATGCTTTGCCCAGAAAGTCCAGGAAACTGTCTTTTGCTCGTTTTCGAAGGCAAATCAAGCAATTTATGCTCACTCTTCCCTGATATTTATATAACTGATTTTCTGAGCCGTTTAGGCATACGTGTACATAGTGTATATAGTTGTAGTGTTCTTTAGTTTAGTTGATTAGTTATTTAATCTTTCTGTACTCCTTAGTTTTTCTTATATATTTTTTTTTCTCTTTTTTTTTTTTGGAATTGCACACAACATCGTGCTTAAAGTACAGACAAAGGTAGTTAAGTGTAAGAGTAGCTCAAGCTAAACTTCGCTATCTTTGTCCCTCACATGTACAAAATATGAATAAAGGCGTTATTATTATTATTATTATTATTATTATTATATCATTGATATAGATAAATGTTTTGGTGAAGCAAAGTTCACTTTAT